CCATGAAAGCCCAAGATGTCTCATTCCAGGGCATTGATGGCCTGATGCAAAGACCACGTGGCAGCATGGGTATACTGTTGGAAGAACAGTTGAATCTGGACCTTTCTGACATCCCACCACTGTCTCAGGGACTAGTACAAGGCCTTGTGCTACCTCCAACACTCCCAAAACACAGCAAACATCTGGGTGAAATTCAAGTCCTGTAGTGATTTAGTAATAAAGCGCCAGTGGGCAGCACACTGACAGAGACATAATGATGATCAGACAAATGAGTGGGATACATGAAAAACTGAACATATTCGTGCTGGTCTTCTTGGTATAAAAGTGATCCAGTGTAACCCCGTGAGACCATATTGGGAGTAGCCTTCAGCCAAGAGTACTGCCTAAAAGTGGGGTGAGAGAACTTCCAAACATCTACTAGTCCAAAGGTTTGCAGAAGACAATACAGTTCTTTGGCTGACTGAGGGTGTGGCTGCCATGGTTCCTTTCTAAAACATAATGTACAGTGCAATTGAAATTTCTTTCCAGGACAATAATATCAGAGGATCACAGTCAAGCATGGCATGGGCAAGTGTCTGCAGAAAGGAGAAAAGATGTCGCCTCAGAGTAGGGGCATGCACAGTAAAAAGATTAAAAACAAAAGTGCCAGTACGTGTTCCCTCTTGAAGAAGCCAACCCTACACAGTCTCCTTCATAGAAATGATCTGTGCCACTGCACCCTGGGAAAAGAGAACAGCCACCCCAACAGTGACATTGGCTCAAGGAAGCTGTCTGTTCCTTCAACCAGTTTCCCTGATTATCAGAGTCCGAATGCATCTCTTGCAAAAGGATAACATCAGCCCATTTTTGTCTGAGAAATTCAGAGTTGTGCCCTTTTATGACCATCCCAGCATCCATTAATAGAGTGCCAAAGTTGAGCAGCACCATAGACTCTAGAAGGAGAGAGTCAAGCAGCAGAGAGAAACAATGGAAAGTGGAAATACTTTGAACAAAATGAGCCATGGAGAGGCCTCCCCACATGCTTCCTCACCTTGCTCAACAACTTTCCGAGATGGAAATGTTTCCTACAATCAGCCGAGGTATCCCTCTTTGTGCTTGTGGTGGGGTGTATAAGCCCCATACCAGGGAAAAAAAGGTTAATGAACAGCTCTGGGCTCAGATACCCTGCCCAGCCACACCTGCTGGGCATGCTCACAATTGAGGCAGAGCTCAAAAGGGAGCATCCCAGCTCAGTCAGGGCAGACTACACAAGGGAGCAGTCCTAGGCTTGTAGCTCCTCAGAGAGGCTGCAGGAGTTCCTCACCACCTGGACCAGACCCCGCTGCCGAGCTGCCAGAGGCCCCCATGTAGACTGGGAAGGGCGGGCCATGACTAACAAAGAGAAGCCTCCGGACCCCAGTCATAGAGAAGCCCCCCTTGGTGAGTCCATAAGCTGACTCCGCAGTGACTTTGGAGGGGCAGAAGCCACGATAGGAAGTGACCTAGAGAGTAGGCTTTGTGGCATCTGCCCCGCAGGCTACATATCCAAACAGCTAGTCACAGGGCCCCGCTTTGCAACCTGTTGGAGCAGGAGGACCAGGTTTCCCCTAATACCGGTTGTAGACTCTTGCTGCTTGGCAACATGGCCACAGGCTCTCGGCCACAGACTCTTCGCTGGGCAATACCGCCAGACTCAGATGCAAACCCCCCCCCAACACAGCTGAATGAACGAAGCACTGTAAATCAGGGAAACAGGCCTCGACGTCAATTCCCCGCTTCTCTTTAGCGCTATCTACAAAGTTACTAATCTCCATCATGCTGTACCCCCCTTTCTATACAGCTGACTGGCTGGGACATCAGGAACCAGTGAAGAGTCAGAGAGAGCCTCATCATCTTCTTCCTCTCCCTCAGATTCCACCAGCTCAGAAGAACATTGAGCTGCTATTGTAACATTCTCATTATTCATGAAGGAGCATGCTGACATATCTATTTTCCAAAGAGTGGGAGGCAGCACAGCCTCAGGCTGGGACCCAGCATCATCACTGCAGCATGCAAGACTGGAGGCTTGAGGACTCACGATGCCAGGAGAAGGCAGTACCCCACTGGGAGCTCCACGCATGGAGCTACCAACCATTGCAACACTCTGTTCCTTTTCAGGGCATACAGCTCCATTCTCAGCCACTGCCAGCAGCTCAGGGGTTTCCAACATCTTAGCCCTTTTAGAAATAATCTCGGATAAATGTCTTGTTGGTTTGTTCTTCACCTCCATCTCTAGAATCTGTCTCTCCTTCCTCCTCAGGGAGGGGCTCCTCAACCTCCTTGCTTCTGTCCAGGTACAAGTGATTGAGTCACAATAGAGGTTTCCTTGGAGAAGGGGAGGAGCTGCTCCCTGGACAACAGCAGACCATATATGGCAAGGGGGGAAGATAGAATCTGTCAGTACAGTTGCAGGCTGTTTCCTGCTGCTCCCTTGATGTCCCAGCCCCTTCCCCACTATTCCTGGGTCTCACATTCTTACCAGGGGCCTCCTAGCCAACAGTGGGCAGGAACCCTTCAAATGACCAGGGCCACCACAAAAGAAATATTTCATGTTTCCAGAGGTAGCAAATACTGTCTAATCCACCCCATCAGTGTGGTACTTTAAAAATGGGTTCAAGGGCTATTTGGGGTTATTTAGAGCCCCATAAACCTGGTGCCAGAATGACATAACATGCCTCATATTTGGGTTCTTGCATCCTAACAGAAATACCCTAACAGCAGAAACTGCCTTCCCATAATGGGAGAGAGCAGACACTATCATCTCATTGTGAAGGACATGTGGGACTTTGGAAAAAAGTCCTTACTTGCGGGTCAAATTGCTAAACCCATCTGAAGTGGGCCCCAGGGAGAACCCTCACCTAAGGCAAAAGGGGAGACCCAACAATGCCCCTAAAACAAAGAAACAGCCAGTAACAAAACAGAAAACAGACTAACAGAAACCAGCTAGTGCACACAGCATGTAACAAACACATCTTCCGTCTCAGGGGAGCGGGGGCGGGGGTGAGAGAGAACAAGAAAAAATGCACAAACATAAACACAAGTGACTTTATAGAGTGGTGGTTGGAGCTCTGACCCAGGATATGGGAGACCCAGGATCCAGTTTTCCGACTCCAATGACTCTAATTATTTCCCAGAGTGCAGCAGCTTCAGCAGGAGAGGTTGAGGAAGCCCCACCTCAGAATATCCCATAGCCCAGTGTTTAGAGCACTCATCCAACAGGTGGCAGATTGGCAGGCAAATCTCTTCTCCCCCTCAAGGGGGGAGGGGGAATTGAAGTGGGGGTCTCCAACATCCCAGATGACTACCCTAAGCATTGGGCTAAATGTTATGAGGGAGAAAGTCCTCGTCCTCAGCCTTGTGCAAACATGGCATAGGGGCCTAACACCAGGAGAAGGTTTACAGTTGAGAATCGCTAGCAGAGAAAGGTTTGAAATTAGGCCCCTATCTCCATGAGAAGGATGGGGCTTAGCACACATCCCTCTGATCAGCATCGCCCATTGGCTAGCTTAGACGGCATCCTGTGTAGTGTGCTGACTTTTGTAGATCACCATCTAAGGCTCCTATCTCTGCCCATTTATTGTGCAGGAGCCTAAGTGCCTAACTCAGGCTTTGTGAATCCCAATGATTTTTCTAGGTACCTAGAAGTTAGGCACTGTGATGCTCAGCATCACAATGCCTAACTGAAGAAGTGGGTTTTTAGTGCCTCTGAAGTAGGTTTTTTACCCACAAAAGCTTATGCCCAAATAAATCTGTTAGTCTCTAAAGTGCCACTGGACTCCCCATTGTTCTTATTGCCTGAGTAACTTGAAGAGGCCCATGATGTAAGTTGAGAAAGATTTGGGTCTTGATTCATGAATTTGCTACGTGGAAGTCTTTTGCTCATTTCATTTTCATGTGTCTCATTTTGTTCATTTGGTGGTTATTTAAATTTCTCTATGGAAGGCTATAGGCCAAGTTCCTTTTGGGACTGTGAGAGCAGTAGTATACTCGAAGCAATAATGAATGATTGTTATCTCTCAAATCCATTCTCCCTCTGGTTTTCTGAAATAAAAAATGAAGGATGATTAGTCAAGTCAGTGATATTTAGGACACAGTGGAACATCATAACACTGTTAAACCAAGACAAACACTTCAACCAACCCTCTGGTAACACTAAAATTGTGCCACGTGGGCCCCATAACAAGTTTTTATCCTATAGCTCAAGTAAAGGTTTTGCAAAATGCACCTCAAATAAACATTACATTAAAAGTATGTTAATGTGGGAGCACATGTGTCAACATTGTGGTTGCTTCAATCTGGCTTCAGTTAACTACCTCATCAACATAGTTCATGAATACACCGGTGAAACATAATTTAAGAGAATATTGTCTGTAGCAAATGTCATAGGAAATGACTAGAAGGGAAGTTACTTTCAAAAAGTGAGGATCAGGAATGGATGCTAATCAATTTCTACATAGTGTACAATTCTGCTTAACTGGGTACAACTGTAGATTATTGGTTTTGCAAGAAAGCTTGGAGGTGTTTTTCTTATATGATTATAATTTCTTGATTTATTTTACATAAACATCTTGGCTCTGACTCTTCTCACCCCCTACCAACACACACACACTTCAGTACATACAATATAGTGTTTGTTTATCTTGAACTGCTGTCAGTGAGTTTACTTACACTTTCAAAATTAAAGGGCAAAAAGCTAAATCTAAGCAACAGGGTTATAGCAACTGTGAGGTATCTAACAGATTCAACAGTTCAAAACGCAGCAGTGTTGGAGAAGGATCATAAGATAATAACTACAGCTGATACTACCTCTGGAAAAGACCCTTCCCTGTAGTCTAATAAATATTGTATGAACCAACAAGAAGCAATATGCTAATGATGTGATATTTACCCAGTATGCTGGAGCATCAATTGATGTCCTGTATCTTTGAGACCTGTTGATATGAGAACCATTTAAATATTTTCTTTTGTTTCTATTTTTCCAGTAGCTGTTTCCCTGGAAACGAAAATGGTGAGTGAAAGTCGTCACGAGGCCCTGGCCGCACCACCAGCCACCACCATTGCAGCTTCACTGCCAATTAATGTCACAGAACCAGCCAGTCCTGGAGCAGGAGGTGGAAAAGAAGATGCATTTTCAAAGTTAAAGGAGAAGTTTATGAATGAACTGAATAAAATTCCATGTAAGTAAAATATGGTTAGATAGACACTCTAATGGTAAAAAGCTACTGCTAATATTCTAGATTTTTTTGAGAAAATATTTCTACAGTTTAACTAGAAAATATTAAAACCATATTTGTGGGCCTTTCAGCAAATCAGGTGGATGCACCAGGAATGCTGACACTCGATTAATTTTATTTTCAGTTTCCAAAACATTAACTATATAGTTATATATTTTCCAAAACATTATTATATGACCAAACCTCTTTACTACATATAATTATATATTATTAATAATAGTTTATGAAAACTGAAAATAAAGTACAGTTAATAGAATATTATTAGAACCATTTCTGAGGTGATATTGCATATAATTATAAAATTCCTTTTCATTTTAAAAATTTCACACAGCGACACAAATAGGTTATTTTGATACTTTACTAACCTCCAAAATGAGTTAAGGTTTTTTTTGAATAGCAGCTATCATAACAATGTCCATGCTCTTAAAAAAATAGCAAGTAGACAGTACAAGCAAATTAAAAATATATTTGGAAAAGCATTACATTTAACAAAATAGGTTTTTTCCCTAGAGGTTATAACTTGTGGAAAGGTATAATATAGTGTGACCAATAATGACAGGTAACAAATCAGAATATTAATCGATTTTTGTCTCTGAAATGCATTTTGGCAATCTGGCAGATGCAATTTTTGCTAAATTGATAGCAAACAGCTTTGGTCTGTCACTCCAAATTCCCACTTGTAAGAATAGAGGTGTTACAATAGCAAGAAGGCTGCATGTCATTAGTTTGGTAATCTGCACAGTCCAGCATGGACCACATTCAGGCAGAATTGTCTGATAATATCATAGGGAAAACAAAACTACTAGGAGCAACAAGAAAAAGAAAAAAGCATTTAGGAAAGTGGTAACATGGGAGCATCTTTATTGTTTAATTTATAGTTCAGGGTGTTATCTAAATGGGGCAGACTAGAATTTTATATAGGATATACCTTTATTTTTCAGCTTTGATGTTAATACGACTAAGGGCATGAATGGTTTGTACTATGCGAAATTCTGTAGTTTGCAGGTCTGGGAATGGAGTCCGTACACAGAGATGAACTTGAAATGCAGCACATCTTTCCTTTCTAAAATAATAATGAAAACAACTGGAAAGCCTAATATCGAGAATTTGCCTTTTGTTTTAATAAAAAGCTCCTATGGTGCACAGCATTATGGATGAAGGAGGATAACCTACTATTAGTCTCTGAAATTACTTGCTGGAAATTTTTTTTAAAATCCTACATGTTTCATGCACTATTTCATAATATACTGAAAGTGACATGAGTCTGTACCTTGACAGTTTCAACATGACTTGTTCTTCTACCTGCATTAACTCTTAGAGAAATACTGTTATGTATTATAATTTAAAAATGGAGAAAAAAGGACTGTATGGATGCAGAATACCAGTAAGCCAGCCAAGCCCCAAAAGAATTCAGTTAAGCCAACTATCTATATTCCTGAATGCTGCTGGAAGTGGATCAGATGACTAGCTTGGAGATTTCCATGTGTATTACCTATCCTTTAGATAATTCCCCTACCTGGAAACATCTGTGCATGGGGATAGAAAACATCACAATGTTCCTTCACAAAGTTTCACCAGATCATGCTTTTTGGAACAGAAACCCCTGGTCCTTAAAAAGTCAGGACCTTCATTGCATCTCCACACTGCCTCCGGGCACTCTACAGCTCTCTCGCTCTTCAGCACAGCATCAGTGAGCTCTGTAGTGCTCCCAATATACCCCTGTTGCCACTCCCCAAAAGAGGCCTGCATAGTGCAGAGGGGCTCCACAAGAAAATTAATGCAACCAAGCTATATTACGCATTTATATGGGCCCCCATCATGATAGTCTGAGTGCCTCAATCTTTAATGTATTTGTCCTCTCAACACCCCTGTGAGGGAGAAAAGCGCTATTATCCCCATGTTGTAGATGGGCACATAGAGGCTAACAACTAGCTTTTTAAAGGGATTTAGGCACTTGAACAGATATATGTCTACGTCCATCATGTAAGTACCACTGGCATTTTCCAAACCTCAGCTCAGGTGCTGCCTAACACCTTTAAGTGCCTGTGCTTCCATCAGGTGACATTTTCCAACCAGCCAAAATGCTACTCAGAGTGATAGCTCAAACTGGAGCTCCAGAGGCCCTGGGGCAGGATTTTTAAATTAGGCAGGGGAACACCTATCTTGCCAGCAGGGCCCAAACCTGTAGGCCTGCTCTGAGCACATCTGAGACCAGTCAGACCCTGCAGCAGGAGGGCTAGATACAGGCCACCAATGGTGGGGGAGAGCACAGCATCCAAACAAAAGACAGCCAGGGGCACAGGGCACTGTAGGGTGGCCGCGAGAGAGCTATTGAATGTGAGCAGGAGACACTGAGTGAGAGACATGGTTTTGGCTGCTAGGGCATGGGTCTGTATCAGCATAACTATATTGGTAAACATTGCACCCATACCCAATACAGTTATACTGGCACAAAAACTATGTGTGGGGACTAAATTGTTTACAGTCACATCTCTCTACCTACACACACAAATCATAAAATGTCAAGTCATGGATATTTTGTAAAAAGCCATTAATTTGTGGCTTGCATGATGGCAGCCACAAAAATGTAGTCTCCCTTTAATGATCAGTGAACACGCCTGAAATATACCTTTCCTTCCAGTATTTTTCAGTGAAAACTGCATGATTTATTTTAATGTGGATTAAAAGGGAATCAAAAATCTTTAAAAATAGTGCATTTTGTAGAACATTAAAGGTCACATGCTTAATGTAATGTGCAGGCCTAAATAAGAATAAAGACAGTAGGCATGTTTTAAAGCAGAAATTTAAATATCAGCTGGCTCTTAACAAACTAGCCAAGATTCCAGTCCAAAATGTTAAATTTCACCTTACTCTACAAAATTCCAGCGTGGGGTGCATTGGATTTAAGTGACATTCATCATTGTTGATGTGCTTTATAACACAATTCCATTCCTCCCAAAGGCCAAGGAGCTTCCCACAGTGAGGGAATAAAATTATTGCCAAGGAAAAGAGAGGGGGCCAATTACACTATTGCTGCTATAAGCTTAGTTAATACAAAATTTAAAAACCTTGTTACAATTCCTACTTATAGAGGCTCAAATCTTGGCCTTTCACTGATATCTGTTCCCCTAAAAAAGAACAGTGTACTGTCCCCCATGTTGTGTACGAAGAGTCTGAGCATCAGAAGACATGCAGAATGTTCAGGAAGATGTCTCATCATTCATTCTACTGTGGATAAAATGATTGGAGTCATTTTATTACAGTGACTCATACAATTAAAGTGCAGAGATGCTATAAGGTTACTGAGGCACAACTGTAGAGATTTTTTTCTCAGTAATGCAAATCCCTGCACTCTGGTCGTGAGTGTCTGATTTTCATAATCACAGAACAGTTTCTGAATAACTGTACTGTATGTAAATCTCTCTATACTGATTGGCTGCTGTAATCCTTCCACTTTGAATTGTCTCCTATATGCAGAAATTTCAAACTATTTAGAAGCAACAAAGACTCCATCTCAGCTTTTTACTTCCTTCATTTTAACCAGAAAAATCCCAACATTTAAATGAAAGAGAAGGAAGAACAAATCAAAAGAAAAGAAAATAGCACTGTCAAACTGATGAAAGGGAAATTGCTTTGAAAAGTTTTTCAGACCTCCTTTTATTCATTTCTTTTCTTTCTCTCATCGTTTTCCCTCTTGGTCCCTCTCTACAGGCCAGCAAAGCTCTTGTCCTTACAGTAACTGATGTATATTAATGTTCATTTTCTTTACATTAGAGAATCCCAGCCCCTCCTCCTAAATTCTGTATTGAACACTATGTAAACAAAAGTGTATTGCAAGTGGTTCTGGGGACAAGGGCCTTACAGTACTGAAGGAAGGAGAGATCAGGGAGGGAGAAGGTGAGAGGGAAAAGGATAAATCATAGAACAGAGGAGGGGGAAGTAGAAAGGGCAAAGCGGGGGGCTACCCCTTTTTAAAAAAATCCCTTTAAGCTGCTTGACAGTCCCCATGGGATTTTTATTGGGGTGTTTTCCTCCTTAATTTGAAGTTTAAATGTTTAGTTTAAAAATTTGATGATGATGATAACGATAATTACATATAAATATAAACAGATGTTTATTATTTTACATTACATAAATGAGCACCCATCTCAAATGCTAGATGACCTTGAAAAACTCTTAAAAATATATTCATACATAAACACATTCTTGTAATTGCCCACAGATAACACTCTCCTGGGAACAACGGAAGTTTAACAAAACATGAATAAGCCCCACAACAAAGCCTACCAGAGTTCCCCTAATAATAATAATAAATATGAGAATGCTTTCTGTACCCTTAGTAGTAACTGTATTGGAATTCAGCTGTCGTAACTCCCACAGCTTTGATGTATGTTTCTCCCTCCCTGTCTTTCTTTCTCTATCCATTCTAGCCCCCTTGATTTACCACTTTAGGTTGGATTAAGTGTTCTTACTACCCCCTCTAAGAGACATTAAACTCATTTCTTGATTTTTCTCTCTTCCTTGACACCGGGATTCTGGGCTATTACTTTGAATGATACTTTCTAATTACATCTTGGGACTTTACACACACTCCTACATGGTATTTCTGAAATCTAACTTTTATGGGCCTGCCATTTTTACTGTATTTAGAAAATAACTTAGGGCTTTGTTCAGCTTTCAACTTTCTCCATAGTTGTAACTCCACTGAGGTCGATGGGACACTCATGAGGTTCTGGTCAGTGTGACTAAGGGTGGATAGATCTGACCCAATGATGCAAACGGTGCTGAGGAAGACCTATTGAGTTCCAAAACTGTTCTAATACACAGAGACAACAAATATAGGAAAATCAGCATTAACTTCTTATGAATTATTTGTATTACCATAACACCTAGGAGCCCCGGCCATGGATGAGGACCCCACTGTGCTAGGTGCTGTACAAACA